TTTGAAGAAGGACATGTCATAGCGCTCGGGAAACACCGTGGAGGGGAGCTCATTCCAAAGCCGTATGCAACGTGGCAGAAAAGATCTTTGGAAACGCACTGTCGATGAACGCAGGGGTTCCAGATAATATGGATGAACTCTGCTCCGATAGAGGGAGGTGTGAATATGGAAAGAAAATTTAGTGTTTTAAGAAAACGTACAAAATCTATCTTCCATCTTCTATTTTTATACAAATGATGAATTGCTGTTCGTTAGTCTCGCTAAAACTTGAGAACGGCTGGACCGATTTGGCTAATTTTGGTCTTGAATTATTTATGGAAGTTCAGAGAAGGTTTAAAAGGTAGATAAATATGAAAATGCTCGGAATTATATAAAAATAACAATTTTGTTTTTTCTTTGATATGTTCCCCGTCGGACGAATTCCTTTTGTTTGTTTTAAGTTTATTTTATACAAAAGTTTAAGCCTTTTATTTATCGATTGAGGCACTGCGAAGTCTGCCGGGTCAGGTAGTTTTCAATATTTTCTACAAATGTCTAAATGTCTCAAATGCCACCGGCGTTCAATGTGTTAATTGTTATGTTTGTGTAATGTTGTCAATTATATTTTGTGTAGTTTCTAAGTTGAAAATAAATAATAGTTTAAAAAAAACTAACAAAATACGCTTTTATAGAAAATCCAACTAAAAAATAGAAAATAAATTTTATAAATTTGAATTACTTAAAAATAGTGTAAAAAAATGATTTATTTATTTTTCATTTTTTACTTGAATTTCCATTTTATTCAATTTTTTTTTTCAATTTTTTTTTAAATATTAAATTGTCATCGGTCCTTAATATGTATACCAAATTTCGACTTAATCCGACGTTTTGAAGGGGGGGTCAAAATCATGTTCAAAGATTCCGTTACGAACATACATACGTCTGAAGCTAATAAAAGCGTATTAAAAATTCTGAATAGTGTTTAAAAAAATACTTTCATTTCAGAATACGTTTTTATTCCAACGCAGAAATACAAATTGCTGATGTATCGCGGCTACACGTTTGCTCAGATGAACAGCAATCGTTATTATAAGTGTTCCCAGAAAAGGAAAGGTTGCAAGGCCCAAGTGAGATTAGCCGAAGACGGTGCTATATTGTACGCTGATTCTTCTCACTGTCACGAGCCACCGACGTATCATCTGACGAAGGCCGGGGAATACATACATTTTTAAAATTTTAAACCGTCTATTGGGTAGGTTAATTGTTAATTAAGTGGGTTAAAGGGTTAGTGGTGGAAAAGTAAGTTAAATTTAAGGATTTTTTTTATTTAATATTAAAAAAAATATTCAAATTTATATTCAATTAAATTTAAGATATTTTCATTTTCGAATGTTTTAATCTCTGGCAGTATGAATAGGTTATCGAAGTTCCGTTTTTAGCATTCCTGACAATCATTGACTACATAATGACATTTGAATTTTATGCACTTAAATATAATATTATATAGATTTGTTTCAATTTAAGTGTGTAAATAAACTTGCCGATTTGAATTTTACAATTCGTATATAATATGGCGTCTAAAAATAGGAGGTCCTATTTTGCGACTATTCAAATTGATAATTTTAAATTATTATTTGTTCTTGCGTAATAAAGGTACCTAAGTGACTATTTTTAGTACAACTTTTCATTAAACAAATATTATTAAATTTACAAAGAAAGAAGGAACAAAATAACATACGCAGGCTACTACAAAACAGTACCTACCTGTAGTAATTTCTTCTCTGTTTGTGAATCGATTTTTTTGTTTAGTAACTAATGACGAGGGTAGTGCTATAAATAAAATGTTGAAATAATAATATATTTTTATTAAAAAATGTTTTATGTTCGACTATGTGTATTTTATTTTAAATTTTATCGATTTCCCGGTCAAATTGGGATCGATTTTAAAATACTTGTTTGTATCGTAAACTCTCAAGGCGATTCCATCGTCATCGGTGAGATTAATTGATGCGTTTCATTCTTGAAATCGGCTTAGCATCGTTTATTTGGAAGAAATATTATCCTTATTCTTAATAAAAAAAACTTACTAAATCGATTTTAATGTGACAATATTTTGTAGTAAATCGATAATCGATCATTCATATTTTGTTTGGAGATATTACCACACTGTGTACTTCTGCTGTGTAAAGTCTACATATTTCGCATCTGAGGGTAGCGTTTGTTTTGAAAACAACTAAGACTTTAAGCTTGAAAATCGTCTATCGCGTCGCATTAGCAGACTAATGAATGATCTTCTTGGCTATAACTTACTGATGGTATCTCATCCATCTCCTCTCTCATCCGTCTCCTCTCTGTTCAGTTCGTACCAGTATTACTAAATTATTATTAAAGTTGTCGTGGCCTGAAGCATAAGGCGTCCGGTGCATGCGTATCTAGCGATGCAACGGTGTTCGAATCCCACAGGCGGGTACCAATTTTTCTAATGAAATACGTACTTAACAAATGTTCACGATTGACTTCCATGGCAAAGGAATAACATCGTGTAATAAAAATGAAACCCGCCAAATGATAATTTGCGTAATTACTGGTGGTAGGCCCTCTTATGAGTCCTCGCGATAGGTACCACCACCCTGCCTATTTCTGCCGTGAAGCAGTAATGCGTTTCGGTTTGTAGGGTGTGGCAGCCGTTGTAACTATACTGAAATCTTACAACTTATATCTCAAGGTGGGTGGCGCATTTACGTCATAGATGTCTATGGGCTTCAGTAATCACTTAACATCAGTTGGGTTGTGAGCACGTCCACCCATCTAAGCAATAAAAAAAAAGTCATAATGTACCTTGAAGTGTACTTACGAGTGTTCTTTTTAGATCGTCGCGAAGTCGTGGCCTATTAGATAAGATGCCTGTTATGATCAATGCTATACTAGTATTTAAATCCCGCAGGCAGAAACGTTTTTGTATAAAAAATACTTATTGCGTATTCAGCAATAAGTATTTAATCGTATTGTTAGCCCACATGGATAGTTACTGTCATCTTAGTCCTGTTTTTGTTCTGAAGGGTGGGACACCCTTCATAAACGGTAATTAAGACTTGTAGGTACCTGATTTCTCCAGGTGTTTGAAGGCATTTAGGTTGATATCTTCATGGCCTCCGGTACCTACTTAACAACAAGCCCGTAAGCTCGTTCCCTTAAATATGCAACAACAAAAAACCATCGCACTTAGCAACTCAATTTACATTACAGATGAGTTGCAAGAGTTGACAATGATTAATGGAGTTACCTTGTTTATGTACAAGAACTACACATTCTCGGTGACCACCACGAAGAGTTATCCTAATACGAAGATCATGAGGTGCTCGAAACGACACAGGGGGAAGTGCTCAGCGAGGTTCAAGGTCGACCAGTACGGGAGGATCGAGTGGGCGTTACTAGAGCACAACCATCCTCCCCCAAACTTAATAAGAACTGGAAGTGGATTCTACATAAAGATATAAGAGACCAAAAAAACTATATTAGATTAGCATAATCCATACTATCTATACTAATGTATAAATATACAGTGGTTTTTACGGATGTTCCGTTATAACTACTGAACCATGCATCCGAATGACTTGAAACTTGGTATCCATGTATAAAATACATGTACTTAATGGATTGCTTAATATTTATATGAGTGTTTGGACGCCCTACACCAGTTGCGGGGGCGTTAATGATGAGAATCTTTGTGGGGGTGAGAAATAATAATGTTAATTTTAAATGCCCGGCGAAGCGGACGGGTACAGCTAGTGTTGTTATATGTTTTGACAGTATAAGAAATTAATAGTTTTATTAAACGATTTCTTGTTTTCATTTCTGTTTCAATCATATTGACGTAGGCATAACGGCAGGACTTGCCCATAGGGCGGTCCAGTTTTAAGTCTCATCATAGGAAAGAAGACCTGTTAGCATCAATAGAATTAGACAGGTGATGGTAGGACCTCTTGTGAGTCCACACGGGTAGGTACCACCACCCTGCCTATTTCTGCCGTGAAGCAGTAATACGTTTCGGTTTGAAGGGTGGGGCAGCCGTTCTAACTATACTTGAGACCTTAGAACTTATATCTTATGTTGGGTGGCACATTTACGTTGTAGATGTCGATGGGCTCCAGTAACCACTTAACACCAGGTGGGCTGTGAGCTTCGCCACCCATCTAAGTAATAAAAAAAAGACAATAATACCTCAAAATAAATCTTTACAATTCTTTAAAGTTCGCACACAAAAAGTTATTTAAGTATAATTAAGTATAAAAAAAAAGTATAATTAATGTTTTCTCATAGAGCATACCCTTGAAGACATATAACAAACAGTAGTATTATCATAACTTGAAATGGTCCCTCCACATTCTCTAGTTTCCACATCCGAAACTTTGCACGAAGAAGCGAATAACAGGTTCAGCATGAAAGTGTAAATTATTTATTTATTATTGACAGATTCCTGGTAAGCTTTTCTTTAATTGAGGCCGTCAGCGCAAAAGTGGCCTAAGCTTACCATAGTTGTTATAGAGCAATGAGGTTTAAGTTTTCATAAAATATTTTTTACATCGCGTGCCCTGCGAAAACTATTGATGATAGAATAAAATAATGTATTACAACTTTGTAGAACACATTATTATTTACAAAAAATGTCGTGACAGCATATGTCTAACTATTATAGTTATGCCGCAATAAGTGTTCTTTTATTTAAAAAATAAAACAACGTCAGCTATCATTGAAATTTTTGTTGATCCGAGCGGAGCCGGAGCGGGCTGCTAGTTTTAAATAAATTGCAATATACATAATTATATGTAGGTGGCAATGGACCGGTCGCACTGGAAATCTATTGGAGAGGCCTATGTTCAGCAGTGGATGGCGATAGGCTGAAATGATGAAGCATGAAATGAAAAATTGTGGGTCAGGCCACTTCTGTGCTGACGGCCTCAGTTAACCTTGAAATGTGACCTCGAAGTCGGTACTATCGATCACCCAGCACACCTCACGTATCGATTCGTATCTTTCGCAATGAAAATCCCGCTGCGATTCTTACGCAGCTGTATTATCGCAGGGGTATCCTTAAGTGATTATTTTTTTCCTTCAGACGATGAGACCGTTCAAGTTCTTCGTACGCCGGGAGGAGCTCAATTAATGATATACAAAGACTACAGTTACTCGCATCACAGCCACAACAAAACCTGTAGAGTAATGAAGTGCTCGAAACAGAAGCGAATGAACTGTAAAGCCAGACTCAAAGTGAACGAAGGAGGAATAGTTGAGTTAATCCATTACCACAACCATGAGCCACCTCTATACACGATAACAAAAAGCGGAGTGTATATAAAGCATTAGGGTGACGCGTCCGCGACGAACACGAGCGCTCAAGGCTGGTAGCACGTTAGCAATGTATTGTCAGTGTTGTACGATATTTTCGTTAGCACCGCTTATGAATCATCTAGTAGGTTCTATATTACTGACGTAACTCCGTCGCGTTCCTCGTTGAACTAAGTAAATTGATGGGGCTTATCGGTACTGGCTTGCAATACGCATCACTACCAGCAAATAGATTAATGACCAGGTTTTAAGAGTTGTAGATTATTTATACAATATAAATGAAACTTCTGGCAAAATTTACGTTATTTTGTCTATATATGATGGGAACCGCTTAATATCAGATGGACGTTGATCTCGTCAACTCATCGTTGCAACAAAAAAAAGCTAGACCGCCTCAAAAATATTGAATTTAAATCATGAGGTGTCAGTGATTGTGGTCTAATTTCGGTCACTTTTCGACACTAGTATAACAAAACATAGTTCACATATATTTGTGTCCGCAAATCTCTGTAAGTTTTTAATGGATTAACTGACTCCAAATCTTTATACAATAATGTATTTTAACAATCGAGTGTATGTGTAGACTTTTGTTTTTGTGTTTCAAGGAAAATGGAAATTTCTATACGGTTTGAACTGATTAGGGGTTCATAAGTTGCGATGGTATTTTTTACTAAAATTACGATTATCGCAATTACAACTACAATATACTACGGTCATGGTAACCGTTGTTCCAATATAAATTACGGTTCCAATTGAATATCAATTTAATTTTCTTCTTTTTCAAACACAATAAGTCGATTCGGCTTTTTATATTTGTGTCGGCATAAATCGAAAAATAATACAGGAATTGATTCGAAATTTGTTTAAGCGTTTTGCGAGGTTTCGAAAAGAACGATTAGAAAAAATAAAATTTGTCCAAAAAGAATAATCTAGATTATTTATTAGAATTATTCTAGATATTTTTATTTTTGAAAGAAAAAGTAATCATTTAATGGAATTTAAAACGGAATCATATATGAAATATTTTTTACTGGTGGTAGGACCTCTTGTGAGTCCGCGCGGGTAGGTACCACCACCCTGCCTATTTCTGCCGTGAAGCAGTAATGCGTTTCGGTTTGAAGGGTAGGGCAGCCGTTGTAACTATACTGAGATCTTAGAACTTATATTTCAAGGTGGGTGGGCATATTTACGTTGTACATGTCTATGGGCTCCAGTAACCACTTAAGACCAGGTGGGCTGTGAGCTCGTCCATCCATCTAAGCAATAAAAAAAATTAAATATCCTTACATATGTACGATTTACGGATCTTGATTTTTTCGTGCTACCCGCAAGTTAAAATAGATAATAACTTTATTTACTTTTTCCCTTAGACATACGTTATGTTCGAAGACCATGCGGAGCTCAAATAATGTTATACAAAGACTACAGTTACTCGTTCCAGAGCAACAACAAAACCTGTAGAGTAATGAAATGCTCGAGACAATCTCGAGGGAATTGCAAAGCGAGACTCAAAGTGAACAAAGATGGAACAGTTGAGTTAATCCATTCCCACAATCATGAGCCATGTCAATACACAATAACAAACAGCGGAGTGTATATAAAGCATTAGAGTGAATTGCACAATTGCATTTTGGTCGTAAAGTCTTCATAGTTCTACGGGGTTATAATAAACACGAATGCAGATTGGACACGTTTGGTTTATTTCAGTTTTTTTTAATACATTTATGACATTTTGTGTTGTGATGTTGCTTATACTGAATGTATTCAATTCCGTAGTTGTCACGCGAAGTGAAATTGTTAAATATATAATTTTGAAAAGATTTAAAACTGTGTACTTAGTTGTTACTGCGAAGTTCCCAGTACTAAGAAGTTCCCACATTGTCGTCATGAATTGGTTTTTTTTTCATTGCTTGTATGGGTGGACGAGCTCACAGCCCACCTGGTGTTAAGTGGTTATTGAAGCCCATAGACATCTACAACGTAAATGCGCCACCCAGCTTGAGATATAAGTTCTAAGGTCTCAAGTATAGTTACAACGGCTGCCCCACCCTTCAAACCGAAACGCATTACTGCTTCACGGCAGAATTAGGCAGGGCGGTGGTACTTGTCCGTGCGGACTCACAAGAGGATTAAAGAACTACATCGGTGAATTGAATTACTTGAAATGGAAGAAAACCTCTCAATCCTCGTTATCATTCACTACTTTTGTTTTCAGATTATGAAATGATTGTTGTGAACGGCAGACCGAATCTTTTATACGAGAAATACACGTATTCAAGGCAGGGCCCGAAAACTCAATTTTATTATTACTGTTCGAGAAGATTAGCTTTGGGGTGCCATTCTAAAATCACGTTGAACAAACATGGAGAGATCATTGCTGCGTCGATAGACCATCGCCATCCACCGCCCAATTTGTTGAAGACATCGGATGGGAGATATCTGAAAGTGTAATTTTTGACAAAGCTGAATATAATTATGTATTGGCCGAAAAAATGTGAAGCGTCGTGTTTATTTTTTTTTTATTTTTTATGAAAATTTGAACATCCTAAAAAATCTTACCAAGAAGAAACTCTAATTACATGATTGTGATTTACGAACTAGCCTGTTCGTTTGGCGTCTGATCAATTGAGCCTTGAAATTTCTTTATCCATCACTTTTTTTTTTTTTCTTCCATAATGTTGCCAAATAGTAATTAAAATACTATAATTAGTAAAATCTGACTCATGACGTTTCTAAATTAATATTTTTTATCGATATACCTGAATTTTCTCATGTTGATATTTTGATACGAAAATGCATCATGTATTTTCTATTCTAAGCTTTTGAATTGCAAATAAAAATTCGGTAAAGTATGAAATTAGTAAATGGTTGGTTTTATTTTTTCGATAAGGTTCATACGATTCATACGACTGGCCTGAATCTGGAAGACTCAATTCCGGTCGGTTAGAAAAGTTTTTTGTTACATATATGGGTTAATGAAATCAGGCCCCCCTTGGATGAAGTAGTTCCTGAATACCATAAACATCCTTATATAAATCCCGCTATCTAACTTGAGATACCAAGATCTTCCCCATTTCCAATACAATGTGAACGACAACATAAAGGACAAATACAAAAAATTGTGTCATCAGCCCAATGAATTGAATAAAATCAACAAAAAATAATCTAATATTCATATATTTACCTTTCAGGTTTTCTGCTACCGTACGAGTTTTTTCCCAGCCGACGAGGAAAAAACTTAGTGTTGGTCGGAGGGAATACATTTTCGATTCAAGGCAGTAACACAAAAAGATACTACTGCTCTAGGAAAAGAGTTACAGGATGCAAAGCGCATATAGTACTGGATAGAGACGCTGTGGTCAAAGCGATTCTGAATCACAATCACGAACAGCCAGCCTTGCATAGAACGGCTTGCGGAAATATAGTGAAGTTACATAAGCATTAGTCTACTTTAGAATTTCGCAAATTGAAGATGTGATTAAAAGATAGCAAACGATTGATCTGATAGTGAGCAGTCACTGTCGCTGAAGGACACTTTTTTTTTTGTTGGTCAGGAGGAAAGCGCCGGACTTCGGCCGTTCTCTGGGGATAGCGGGCGGGGTATGTCAGAGTCGAGCTGACTAAAACCTCCTATCGCTCAACAACCCACGTCCAAACCTCGCATGAGACAAAACTCATGAAAAGGCAAAGGGGGGAAAGTGAAGCGTTTAGTTCGGTGCACATCTCTCCCATCACCCTCCCCCTCGGGACGCCGGACTGGCGGTCGTCGGCGCCACGACCACCAGCCCTCTTGGTCGGCAGACTGTCCGAAGCCCGCCTAGATGGCGCCGGTTAGAGTGGGTAAGAAACACAGCTCACACTTGAAGACGTTTAAGCTTAGTTCGAAGACATGTAAGAGCACTAAGAAAACAACGTGGAGGGGATTCTTTCTAAAGTCAGTTGATGTGTCCTGAAAATGATTTCTGGAAACGTTTAATAACCCAAACTATGATTTAAATTAATTATATAACAAACTTAATTTGTTTGCAAAAACTTCAAGTTAAGAAACTACTCGATCTAGCTTTTAATCCGACTTATAATTTTATAGCAGCTTTATTTTATAGTTTGGTATTTAATGCACTTGGCTTCGTGATAAAGCACTCATTATTTTCATAAACTATATACGTATGTATATTTAAATTATACTAGTTTTAATGGTACTAGATTAAGGTGAAAAATATTGTAAGAAATGGCACATATTCGAGTTTCTCATTTCACGTGAGAACGTGTTCACAAAAAGAAAATATTGACTGTAAAATTGCGAATAGAAAATGTAACTAGATTAGCACCTTATTTTATTTCAAAAACCACAATTGAGCTAGAGTTTAAACAATAAATATTAAATAAAAATCCACTTTGTTTTATTTAAATACCTTGAATTACTTGTGAGTTCACCAGATCTTACTTTGTCTGGTTATAAATAAAAAAGTAATTCCAAGAATTATTGAAACTATTTCTCCATAATCGACCTTTTGTGTTTAGAACGTACCTTCTTTATTTTCTAAGTAAATGAAAATTGTAAATGAAAAGCTGAGCTGTAATTCAGGTGTCGACATGATGTCTGATCAGCAAAAAAATGTATACCTTATATCAAAGCAGTTCTCATTTCGATGTCTACAGGCTCTATACAATCACTTTCATGCAAATAGTTGCGTCTACCCACACATTGGTGCCACAAAAATAAGTTTTAGTATAAAATTCTGAGTCCCGTTAAGTACCGCTATTGGAGTAAATATTATAATGATCATTCATCGTTACAGGTTACGTGCCGTATGACATAATAAGGACAAGAGGCGGCGCGTGTTTATACATGATCGACGGCTACACATTCCACCAGAAGAAGAAGAACAAATGGTCGTGCTCCAGCAGAAGATCTAAGAAATGCAAAGCTAATTTCAATACTTACCCAACGGGCGATATTTCGGCCAGCTATCTCCTGCACACTCATCCACCTCCGATGTACGTGCAAGCGGAAAACGGACGCTATGTCAAAGTGTAAACAGCTCTAATTCGAATGACCAATTAAACCGTTCATTATTAGTATTGGCAAAACCATTACCGGAACGTGGATTTCAAACTTATAAAGAAAACGTTTTGTTTCACTATACAGGGTCTTATTTAGTTTGTATCGGACACGAAATTGATTTGTTTAAATCCAGTCGCAGAATCTATTGCAACGTTTCTTAAGCAGTTTCGTGCTCTTTTAAAAAAAAAAGAGATCTGTCATTAAATATTAAGATGGACATCGTAATCTGGAGTGAAAGAGTGGCCAAATGGACACATCGAGCTATTTGTACTTTTTATTATTAGGTGTTTACATAATAAGACCCTTATCTTTATTTGTCTACACTATAACCGTTGTACATTGAATAATTAACCAAAATGGTTCCAATGTAAATTGTTACAAACAAAATTAGATAAATAATTCCTCAGTTCTACAATCGATTTTATATTTTTATAAAATGGCAGATGTGTCTGGCCTCGAGAAACTATGATGTAAGTCTATGCTCAATAACGGAACCTTCGAGTACTTAAACTAATTGAAGTCGTGAAGGAGAGGTATCTCGTCGCAGCTTCCTCCTGATACACAATGGGGACTACGGTATCATCTTAAATCGAAAAACAGGGAATTAGAGATCTCAGAAGATTAGTCTAAATGCTCTCAATACGTACAAAGGGCCTTAAAAGGGATCTATAAATAATAATGTGCTCTTTTTATTTTTAGATAGCAAATATAGATTAATTTCAGAATTAAATTGATTTTAGAAATCAAATTGATTTTTTGTAATCTGTTAGTCTGTTTTCTGAAAATAGTCACATTATAAATATGATTAAAAGCCCCTTTTTTTATTTAAGGCGATACCGTCAGCTCCAATTTGGACACGGTAACAAGGGTTGTTTTTCGTGAATTATTAGTTAATCGTCGCGGCGAAGGAATCGCTCCTTAGAGGCGACCTCAAGCTGTCAATGCGATTAATAACCTAACAATATTCTTAACGGTGGTACCACGAGTCGCTGATGATACAGCATCAATGACTAGTGAAATATAAATCCCACGTGATTTTAAAATATATTACCAATCGAATTCATAATCCGTCCGTAATAATAATATTAATCCCCACTCTGTTTTTCTGTCATCTCCCCGGTATTACCACTGGTAAAAAAGAGACGTGAGTTCTCCCGGGCTGTAAGTCTGGATGTTGTATCATCGTTCTTAACATGCAATTGTGCCTAATATCGGGGTCTTCATACTTCCTGTGGGGGCGTGAAATGGACCTCGGGGCGAACCCCTCTCTCTGCCCGGGCATGAAACTCCCAGCCACACAGGGCAGGGGTAATTGTGCCTGCGACATTAACTTTCATTTGTCAAGTTCTCAGATCAATGTTAACTAGACGAGCCAAATGAGAAATTATTGACTAACATTTCTTTGCTGCGTTTGATGGTACGAACGTATTCGCGATTGAGCCATGATTATTTATTTCGAGTGCACCACAGCTTATTAACATATAATCTAGCGTTAATATTTTATAGTGTTTCGCGAGTTGCAGACATGATCGGAAATAACTCTGCGCCTTAATTTATTGCTTTAAAATTGTCCCACGTTTGGAATACTTCACAGTTTTCCTCAATTTAATTTAAATCATTGCATAGTAAATTAAGTAAATAACAGAAAATACAAGCATACTTAAAGTTAACCGTAATCGGAGAAGGTTCTAATGTTGTATAGAAAAAAATTACTAGTTAACCTGAAATGTAAATATAAGTTATTTATTTTGCAATCTTAAGGCACGCTACTTCTTTTATGAGACTGGATGTGGAGACTGGAGAATGGATGGAGAATTTTTAGTGTATACTTAAAAATTAGAAATGTTGCAAATGAATATACAAATATTCATATGCAGTTAGTTGTATAAAGTTGTATTTGACGCTTAATAGAAATGTTAAAGGAAACATTTGAAATACAGGTAACTGATTGTTACCACGATTATTATTATTATATTTTTTATGCTTTCTCGATATTTCGGCACTGCTGCGGGTAGGCTGCGGATAGGAGCCGACAAAAATGTGTGTACCTTTTTTTAAATGAATTTTTGTGAGCTTTTTTTACTTATTTTAGTGGTAACTATACAAACCAGTTGACTAGTGTGTGCTGATGAAATAAGAGTTTGTTGCATTTTTGTTTTTTTACTTACGCCATTTAATTTGTGGCGCGCAGTATTATTATTTTTACATGACATTATACGTTTTAATTTTTTTTTTTTTAATAAGGCATTTGTTATGCTTTGTATTATATATATATTTGATCATGATGGGTGAAAGAAATCACGAGCGACCCGGTGTTAATCAGTTAAGGCTCATAGACGTCTTGGTCACCAGAAACGTGAGGTTGTATTCTCAATCATATGTAATGAAGTTTGTAAGTCGTAGGTTGTCACGACAACCCACGACTTCCAAAACCGGAACGCTTAACTGCCTCCCGTCAGTAATGTAGTGGCTTCCGGCGGGATGGTGGTAGCGACACGTGCTGACTTACGATACGCCCTATCACCCGAAATACGCAAATAAAAAATGCGCAATATTTATCTAAATTAAATTAAGCTTGTGACGTTTCTAGCTGTAATATTGAATTGATTGCCGGCTTATACATATAATTCCAAAGAATTATCGCTTGAATCGCGTTAAATTTACATTTTAAAGGGACTTTACCACTAATATTATTGTGTATGAAATGCGTGTATGTTAATTGGATGTATTTGCTTGACAAAATCTTGACGAATGTTTTATATATCAAAAGACATCAATCGATATGTATTTTCAGAGAAATAATAACAATTACTAAGAAATAAATAAATAAAATGTTTGTCGTGTTTGTTGGAACAAAATGATTTGGTGGGGGATGTATTTAAACGTAACATATGTAGTGACGAACAGATCTGCCGATGAAGTATTTGATTATGTATAAGCGATGAAGTATTTGATTATGTATATTATTTGATTATCTATATGTATTTTGTAGGCAGCGGCTTGGCTCTGCTCCTGGTATTGCTGAAGTCCATGGGCGACGGTAACCACTTACCGTACGCTCGTCTGCCTACAAAAGCAACTAAAAAAAAATAAGCGTGATAACTCACATAGGTCTCCATCTAAGCAATAAAAAAAAAAAAACAAAGGTCGCCATTGATATACTCGCATAGCGTGTGTTTGAATTAAATTCGAATCACATGAACGTTTTTATTAAAAACGTTGTGATCTCTGTTTAACAATGACAATGAAATCAAAATGATAATAGCATCCTGATTTTTTAGGTTTTAAATACTATTCTTATAAATCAACTGTGTCCTTAAGTAACGACAGACAAAAAAAAAGTCTACACTCTGTTATTTTACTAGTTCCCGTGATTTTTGTTTGTTTGTGTTTCTTCAATGCAATGGCGCGATATTGCAACTGAATTATTTTGCTTTTGACTGTAATGGATATTCATATACAGGGCGTTGGACTGGTTTAATGAAATGCAAGACA